TGACAATGCATTCAAACAGTAGCTTCTCACCATGTACCTTCCCATTGCTTGCCACACCCACTTCGTTGAGGCAGGTGTCAAAGAAGCGAAGCTTGTCTCGCAAACTGACCGCTCAGAGCAACTCCGCTCTGCCATTGCCATTGCCATCATCAGATCTGCTGATGTGCACAATGCAAACAACTTGAAGCCCTTGGCTGACCTACCAAGTACTGATAGGATCCTTCATCTCATGAACAATGCAACAGCTCACAATGACAAGCATGTGGTTTGGGCCAAGACTCAGAAGGAAACATACAAAGGCAGATTGGATGACATCCAGAAGGTCTTGAAGATAGAGCATTTCAGGGTGCAGAGACTGGAGGACCTCAAGCAAGAAGCCATCAAGAAGGGAGCCATCAACAAGAAGGAAACCCAGAGGCAGAGGAATGGTGGAGCGGACCGATCTGACAACATCAATGGCCTCAAGAGGTATGGCAAGCTCAGGGCTGCCTACCACTCTGATGATGTCAAGCAAGAGTTGATCCACAGAGGTGTTGGCACTGAAGACCTCATTGCTCTGAGGACTTTCACCATGAAGAAGAACAAACTCAGGGAGCTGGAAGTGCTGAGGATCAAGGTTTTGCCAGACAATCATGAGGAGAAGTCAATGGTTAATCCTCTGTTGTTGTTCAGACCCATGTCTGCAAGTAAGTTTGTCATTGAGTAGTCCTGTTTCCAATGGGCTCTCAATGACAAGGAGCCTTCCTTTGTGTCGCCACAGCCCAAATGCGACATTGCTAGGACCTTTACTAGTGTGTGCCATTTGGCAAGAAAAATTGAGATTTCTCTCTGACCATGGCATCTATGCTACTACTTCCAATTGGTGATAGCTACGCATGCATGGTGGAGAGTTACACCTGTATGGTGTTCTATGTCAGTCTTAACATTCTACATAGCAACTGTTGCCATTATCTGCCATTGTCAGCATGTTTCTTTTATTTTGTTGTTCTTTTTGCCGCAGCCGTTGCTTTTTTCTGGTGTCAGACACGTCAGCGATTATGTACCAGGTCTACGCGCGCGGCGTGTAGAGGATTTCTGAGTACCAGAAAATCGATCAGTCTACGGGATCTGGGGGTCATAGAGTCAGCTGGACTTTTTTCGAAGATGGCATAGAGACATTAGACAGCACAGAGCATCTAATTAGACTAGTAAGTCATCGCATTTGCTGTACAACACTCGACTCAGTCGAGTCGAGTTGAGTCAAGTCCTGTGACAGTCACAGGCTTGCTTTCGGTTCCGGATTTCGGGTTTCAAGAGGTGCGGAAGTAATCCGAAACTGTGGATCGCACAAATAGTCTCTTAGGATTTAACCAAGAAGCCCGTAACTGTCCATTCTGAAAGTAGGAGCTCATACGGTATTAACAGGCAATGTCTCGTGTCTCATGAAAAGATTTGATAGTAAATGCGTAAATGCACCAATGTACCACTGTACAAATATTCTGATAATTATAGAGAAGCCCCCAAAAGCACGCACCTTAGAGGAAGGGTTATACTGTACAATACGTATCGTATATATCGTACACATGATACGTATCATATGAAACACAATTATCATAAAAACTAGATAATATATTATTATGATATATATTAGCCATATGATATACATGATATATAATATATATAATATGTATCATATGATATGACGAGTTTTTGCCAGTTCTCTAATTAGAAGTTGACAGGTCTCTAAGATCTGAACTGAAGCACCCACCAAAGTGTCACAGCAACCAATATGGACACCTATCTTGCTGAACTGAATGACGTTGCCCAATATGATACCAATGTAGAAGAGTGGATCCCTCCTTCTAGTAGTGTAGCTGTGGCAACGTCTCTAATAAATGAAACAACTCCTATTACAATTGACATTATGCAAACGCTTGGCCAGCTTGGCTATGCTCAAATTGACAAGACCGACATGTAGCTATTGGCTGCCAAGCAATTCAACAAAAATGACAAAAAGTTTATCAAAGAGGAACTGATGTCTGTATTTGCACTTGCATACAAAGAAGCAGGCTTTAATGTTAAAAACAGAGGCTATAACAGACGAAGAGCCTACTTTACTGTTGTGTGCCCGAGATATAGGTATTATAAAGAAGCACCATCAAAGGCAACCCAACATAGTCCTACTACCCAAACTCAGTTCCCTATATTTGGAAAAGACAAGCTTTGTCCTTTCTACTTTAATGTTTACTTCAGTAATGAGCACATGCGATGGTTCCCCTCTAGTCTCGCAGCTAGATTGTGCAACACCCCCTTATTGAATCAGCCACCTCTCTGCTCCTATCTGCTTCTCCTATTGAAACCTCCAAAGGACTGAGCCCCAGACATTTGCAGCGTGGTGTGGCCCAGATACCAATCACCAATTGACTCTTTACATCTCATGCTGACAGTACTAGAGTGAATCTTCAGTCTTTGTCCATTCCACTGAATTGAGTACCCTCCCCACAGATTGGCTTGACTCGCTGTTGAAGTCTGTGGTGGTCTTCAACAGATTGAGTAGCAGCCCTTGAGACAACACACAGCCAGTGTCCACCAGTAACAGCGCCCCATCAACCAACAACACACCTTGATAACACCAACCACCGTCTCTACTGGCTATAGAGTGATTTCTCCATATCTCTGTTGAGAATCCTCTATCAGCCTTTGGCTTTGATCCCTTCCTTTTGCAGTTGTGGTAGCTGTACTGGATTGGGACCCAGCCTTCCTTTGAATCAATCCTCCTCGCCACCTCTGCGTCACTGCCCTTCTAATAGGTTAAATCCTGGATAGGCCACCGTGCTCCAGGTCACGACGGGAGGATGCACACTCCCATTGTAAATAGAGCTGTAGGGACCCGCCCCTCATTCATGGGACAGAGGTGAACGGCGGTGAGACTATAGGATAGTGTAGCCGTGCTTCTATGAGGCATATCCTCCTTCAGTGTTGACGCTTGGTGTGCACCGTGAATCTTCCTACCGTGCAATTCATCAATGGTATACGACTCAGCTATTTGGGCCCTCGGGCTCAACTATTGCCTGCATAGAAAAAGGTCCTCCGGACCCAATAGATTGTTAACCTAAATAAGTAATTCAGCCCCCAGTGCTGCAGCATTTTCGGAAAAGGTTAGGAATATTTCCCAAAGCCAAAAAGGTCCACAATTGTCTGGGCCAGGAGCAGCGTGCACTTCATCTATTTTAGTAAGGCATCCTCCCCAACGGGGTTATTATCAGCCACTTTCTTGAGCCATGATACCTATGAATAAAGTCATAGAAACAAAGATTGCAGTCAGTACAATACACAAATATGTATGATATACATCATACATATAATACATACGATAGATATCATACAACATGTTTTTATGATCAATACATACCATACCATACATACCATACGTATTATACATACGATACATATTACACATATCATACGTACGATACAAAGGGTACTTACAGGGTTTCAGTACTGTGATCTACTGGTGAAATGGAAATGTGCTGTTTCTTGACTTCCTTAACTTCCTGGGTGGTGTCCTGCTTTGTTCACCTTGTTCTATCAGTCCATGAATAGTAGAGAAACAGTGAAAGCATTGTTGAGAGATTTGGGTATGGCATGGAGGGAGGAAATAAGAGAGAGTGATGTAACATCAAAGTTCTTTTGCTCATCTGATAAATAGCAACTCTCTCTGACCATTTCACACGCAGGAAGCTGAGTTAATGTACCTGATGGTAGTGGTAGAGATGGTGTGATAGCTGAATAACAACAGAAGCAACAATAGCAAGAGCAACAAGAGGAGAGAAGAAGAAGTGTTGATGGTAGTGTTTTTGTTGGTGGTGTCATTTAAAATGGCTGTGTCAAGACTGCTGCTAAGGGAGTTCTCATTGATTCCACATTCGCGTGTATAATGCGTATAATACGTCCGATATGTATGATATGTACAATACGTACAATACGTACCATACATGCAATCCGAACGATACGTACGATACATATTATACACATGATACCCTTGAAACTCAAAACCTTAAGGTGCGTGCTTTTGGGGGCCTCTCCTCTGATAGGTTACTAAAAATAGTGTCACAGTACGAGTACATGTACATGTACTGTACTTTTGTTTTGCGTCAGTAGCAACATTAAATAAATGTTGACACTGACGTTACGGAAGCATGTTTAATAAATCGTTTGAAGTCTCTCGTTTATTCAGTTTTACATAGCCAATGTAAAAGCTTTTAAGGAGGTACCACCCGGTTTTTAGTCATGAGTTGCTTGAAACCCAAAATTACTCGAGAAAATCGCAACAACAACAACAACAAAACGATTTCGATCGCTGTTGTTGGGACTGGCTAGTGCTCTTGTTGTACTCAATACTGAGAGTACCTACCATACAGTTAAATCTTCGAAACATACATGTTAAGAAGGAGTGACTTAGTTGGACTGCCGCTGGGGTCTTGGTCGATTAGTCTCAGAAGCAGCAGACTTAGCTGTCGATTTTCGGCTGTTAACTGCAGCATACCAAGTGTAGATGCTCTAAGCCCCAGCGGCGGTCTAACTCAAAGGACTTACCTTGTTTGTTATATTCATAGTACTCTTTCTATTGGTCAAAGGCTTAACAAAGGTCTTTATTCTACTCAACTAACCAGTCCAATTCAGCGATTTTTTGTTGTTGTTGTCGCGATTTTCCCGGTTAATCCCAACTCATGACTAAAAGAGGGTGGTACCTCCTTTAAAAAAAATAAAAGCAACCCTTTTGTAGTCGGACATTTACTGTACCGGTACGTTCGTCCCTCTGTAGTGAAGTACTAGTCAGAAATCCTACACGTATTTCTGAGTTCACGGAAGCACTTTTAACTCTTTTTCAGGCCTCTATCACTCGGCATCTCACATCACTCACATCACTCACATCACTCACGTCACCAGTCACCAGGCACCCGGCTGTCACCAGAGCTCACCAGTCATGCGCAGTCATCGAGCAAATTTCCCCCCCCCCCCTCTCTACGCACATGTATTATGTACTACATGTAGCTAGCTAGTACTAGTACCTGTACAGTACTGGTACCGGGCTGAACTGGAGTCCATAGTGGTGGCTTGTGGCTTCCTCATCGGGACACGTTAGGTCTCATTCGAGAAGCACTTACTTGTTTTAAAGGGTTTTTTCGCGAGCACAGGACCTGCGCCTTCCGCCCCTTCCGCCACCCGCCACCCACCACCCCCACGCCTTCCTAAAAGCTAGAACTGCTGGTGGCCCATCCGCGAGAGAGAGGGAGAGAGAGAGAGAGAGAGTACAGATTGAGCAGCTTATTATCGGCTCATTAGCCACACATCGAAAGCGTTCCCACCAGATATTTCCCTCCTCGTGTTCATTTTTTGCTTTGCGACCATCCGACTATACCACCAACACCATTCTTTCATTCTCGCTCCCGTTCCCCTTGATAGGCCGGCCCATCATCCTCCAAGAGACAGAGCATTGAACGTCGCTGACCGGTTCTTTCATACAAAACAGAAGACCATCAGCTGTCGCCACTCTTGAAGCAATTCGTGAAGATGACACCCACAAACCAAAAACAAGATTCCCAGCCAAATGGCGACCCACCACAAGCCACGGAGGACACTCTGCAGCCCGCACCAGATCATCACGACCATGAAGACACGAACGATCAAGGAGATAACGACAGTGTGAACCCCTTGGGTGGTCATTCCTCCCATCATGTTCTGGTTTGGCAGAGAGTCTCTGGGGCAACCGCACTCGATGTGGGTGAAATGAAAGAGAGTCCACCAATGGACGACTCGAAAGGTGCAAACAGCAAGACCGAAACCCAGAAGAGTGCTGCAGGTTCTACCGTAACACTCGAAAAACATCAAAAGGCATTGCTAGTCGGCCCCTCTCGGATTGCCATGCCTGAACAACAAGTCGATGAACTGAAGGAAGATAACACTACAACATCATCTTCGACCCATCATCCAGGTATCACGGAAGCAGCTGAAAACCAATCATACAACATGGAACGGTTCCCAACATTGGAACGCTACTCATATCCCTATGGGCCCGAGGTGGGAGCATTTGCTGTGCCAGGAATCTATGGGTCGACAAGCGATATCGAGACAGCTTCGGAAAACGAACCCGTTCCTGCCGAAAATAGTTCTCTGGGGGTCATTGATGGTGCTGTGGTCGTCGACGAACAAGACGAAAGAGAAGCGCATGAGATGGATGGCAACGATGCAACTACTACTGAAGAAGTCATTGAAGGCCAACTCATGAAAGATAACCGCAGAAACCAAACACACCCTGGTCAAGCCAAAGCATATGTTATATTGGTGCTCTTTGCCATTCTTGTTGGAGTGGCAGTCATCTTGCTCGTTGTACACTTACCCAGCGACTCTGCCAGCAGCCAGAATGACACCAACGCCAATGCTGTCGTTCCCAAGAATACTACCGCCTCGCCATCAATCGTCTACCCCCCATTCCAAGAAGGCTTGAATAAACGTTTGCAGCGTGCATTCGAAGACCCTATGAGCCCCTATGCCAAGGCCAACTCATGGGTTTGGGAAGATCCGAACCTAGAGTCCTACTCACGGGAGAGGCAGTTGCAACGCTTCTACATGTCATCCTTCTTCTACTTTACAGGGGGTCAAAATTGGACAAGAAATGATAACTGGCTTAGCTATGATACTTCGGAATGCAATTGGTACACTGCCCATTATGCCCCTGAATCAGTCTGTGATGAGGGAGGCGATGTTGTTGTGTTCAACATGACCTCCAACAATTTGCAAGGTGACTTGACGGAAGCATCAGACTTTCTTCATACCCCACGCGTCTTTGATGTCTCCAACAACAACTTGAGTGGCTCTTCTCCATCCATGACAAGCTCCTCTATCAACCTGGAAGTGTTTGACGTCTCCAACAACAAGTTCACAGGGGTTTTCCATGGTGGTGGAATGTTTGTAGCATTCAAACTTCGGGTGATCAAAACAGATGGGAACCAGTTCTTTGGTGGGGGTGGTGGCTTGGTGTGTCAAGTGGTACCCCTGCTTGAGGTGTTTAATAATTCTGGGAACTTGTACAACAATGCCATAGCACCAACAATGGGTGCCTGCAAGAGCTTGGTGCATTATTCCTCCAAATGTGATCATGTGGGGCCTATTCCATCGGAGCTTGGACTGCTCTCCAGTCTACAAAGTTTTGACATTGAAGGAAACAGCCGCATGACAGGAACAATACCCTCCGAGTTGGGTTTGCTGACAAGCTTGTCTTCCTTGGATCTTGCTGGAACTTCCATTACAGGACCCATTCCACTGTCCCTCTGTGACAGAGCAGTGGATGGGACTCTGCAAATCAAAGCCAACTGCAGTCTGGTACAGTGCTGCAAATAAACTTATCTCAGGCACGAGGCCTTGCTTTTCTGTTGCACGTGAGAGCTGGATGGTTCTGGAGTTCAATCCAGCAACAATAGCAGCGGGCTGGCCTGGCTGAATGGTAGAGTCGTAGGTATCATACATTCTATGCTTCTGACAGCTAGCTAGCTAGCTAACTACCGGTACAATAGGAATCATGTTCAAACAAGGGCTTTGCTCCGCTAGCTACTACAAGCTAGCTATCCGGACAGCCATTTGGGGGCTGGATTGGCCACAGAGAACGTGATGGACTGGCGAGGTGTGCGTCTTCGCTTGAGACAGAGCGAAACGTGACACCAAAAAGGCATCGATTGATGAATCGAATCGTGATAGAAGAGCCACTTCCCTCCGCCCTCCTTCTTTAATTGTTGCTTGGATAACAGCAAGACGACAATAGACGACCATGACAAGCAACACTCCAACGACGGCGGCGGACTTGGATATCGCTCGGGAGAACCAGGAAGTCCACATTCGGATTGTGCTGAGTTCGGAAGATGTGGATCAGATTCAAAGTATCGTGGAAAATCTGGAGAAATGGCAAGACCCGGCCGTGCGTACCATTACGCTGGTGGGATCCAACAAAGAAGACGACGATGGCCAATTCCGCCATTCCCCCGATCTTCGGGGCCTACTTGCAGCTATTGGCAATGTCATGACGAGTGTGGTGCATTTGAAATTCGAAAACATTTCCGTGGATGGTTGGACGATACCGGCGGAGCTCTTGACGGCGTTGTTCCGTAAAACATCGACTCGACTCGAGACGCTCGAGTGCACCGCGCTGCAAATAGAAGGTACCAAGATGGAAATGTTGGAATTGGAATCTACTGTGGCAGGACTCGTGTGTCTGCGCAGTTGCTGTTTTATCAACAATTTCATTTTGTGGTTGGGAAAGGAAATGCATCCCTTGGATGGAATGCTCCAGGCGCTCAGCAAGCTACCCCTCTTGTTGGGGGTATATCTGGATATTGACTACTTTAATGATTCCGGAGGACACGCCAGTCAATTGTCGTCCTCTGCGGCACTCAGTCCTCTCTTGGGTTCCACCAACATTCAAGAACTCATTCTCAGCAAGTTTCTACCGTCACATCCCGCCTTGCAAGAGATTGGACAACACCTCAAGACCAAAAACTATCTGCAAAATCTCACAATCTACTTTACACTCCCTCCAAATGACGAATGGAACAATCTACCCACCCTTGAATCCTCTCTCGAATGCCTCTCGTCCGCACTATTGGTCAATACCAGCCTCCAAGAACTCAAACTACACTTGGGACACGAAGGAAAGTGTCCCAAATTAGACTCCTTCTTGGTACAGACCGCAAAGGCACTGGAAACGAACACGGCATCGGCGCTTGCAGAACTAGAGGTGATTGCTCCGTGTACGTACGGCGCCTGTGTCGAAGAAGCCTTTGTGACTACCCTACGCACCAACTATTCTCTTCAAAAGTTGGAATGCTTTACCACTTCGGAAGATACCAGCAAGTACATTAGTTTGGATGCCGGACATCGCACCGAAATGGAACTCTATTTGCGCCTCAACGAACAAGGACGAAAGGAACTCATGACGAACAACACCCGCGATACATGGACTGTTGCTCTGGCCAAGCATTCGCACGATTTGGATGCCCTCTTTTACTACCTCCATTGCAATCCGTGGCTCATGACGCCGGGGGCGGAACGGCCCAAGACAACAACCTACTGCGACGAAAGCGACGTCGTCAAGAAGATGAAGAAGAATCGCGTAGAGGATGTTTTGGTGGAAGAGATTCAACGATTACGACAAGAGAATGCCACCCTCAAAGCCAGTCAACAAAAGAGACGTCGATTCTTGCGCGATGCCGCGGCCATTGTGGCAAATGTCGCCTTTCTGTGGGTAGCCACGGCAAGAACGACGTTCGGGAGTAAGAAGAAGGTGCAATAATTCTCGAATCGAAATCGGAATTAGTTGCATGTAGGTCTAGTAGTTTAGATGCTTTCGTTGATGCTATAGAGTAATTATTAGCTATTCAAACCGCTAGGTTATGATAACGTTTTCGTGTGTGTTTCTCGGGATGCCCCTATCAGGTTTGCCCTACCGTGCGTGGAAAGAGGCGCCTTAAAGTTAGACCCTCCCTTTCGCTGGGCCGGTCTCATAGAAGAGCACTTCAATCTAGGATCCTCTAGCTTCGTGTGTTGGTGGGTCGGAAATATCGCCCATAACGCCGCCATCACGCAGGTCATTCGTTTCGTTTCATTTCAGATCGTGTTCAGCGGTTGTTGCTTTGACTTCAAGCGTTTTGCCACTTTGACTGCAAGCGCTTTGCCACCACTTGATCAATGCAGGCTTCAATATCGGCTTGAGGGTACCGATCTCCATTGGCATTCTTGTTTCCTGGCTTTAGTCTTCTCGCTGAATAGTCCCCATTGTGCGAACAAGGAAAGACGACTTGTTGGGAACAAGTTTGCATCACGGCTTCTTGGAGTTGGTGAAATTCCTCCAACGCCGTTTGGAAGCGTGACAATCCCAATTTCTCAATGGTTTGATCGAGACTTGCCTGAGCGGCACCCCACAATAGATAATCTCCATAGTTCTGGGCCAACCATTGCGGGGATGAAAAGTAGTTTTTCAAAAACGGCACCAACACCGAGTCGGACTGTTCCCCCGAGAGTTTGGGGGAGGCACCAATTCAATACATCCAGCAATCCGATCGTAGAGATAACTCCCTCCCACGTGCAGCGGCATGCTGAGAATGTCGGCCGTCTCCAACCCAAGAAGCAATTGGAGTGCCACAAGAGATTCGTCCAAGCGCTCCTGAACCAGAAAAAAGTCGTATTCCTGCAGAGCCTGTTCAATGTACCCGTGCACTTGGTCCGGATCTTGAACTTGAAAGGGTTGATTGGGTTTCCACGCCGATTGTGGAGGAATCACTGGAAAGCTCACATAATTGAGTTGAAATCCACCTTGTCCATTGCTAATGACACCCGTTTCGGTTTCCGTCCATCGGGTCAATGCCTGTTCCAACAAGGCCACATCAATCCCCTGAGATGTGAATTGTCTGGTGGAGAGTGTCCACCAAATGCGACTGAGTGCTCGTTGGCACTGGATCTCGCAAGGATGTGAGCAAGACGCTGTGAAACTGATGTCGATGACCATACCACGCGGCAGGATCGCCCTGTATGTGGTGTCCTCGCAAATGGCACGTTCTACCAGTTCGAGCACGGACTCTGGCAATGGTTCGTTTGAGAATTCGATTAATGCTCTGCGACGCCGTTTTGGGTGTCTTGACAAAAAAGAGTCCTTGGTTTTGCGTATTGTTGCGGGGTTGCTGCAAGTATTTTTCGGGAGGATTGGCAGGACGTGGTCGACACCACCAATGGTTGTTGGTGTTGCCTTTTTTTGTTGTTGTTTCTTTGACTTGAAAGCGCTCGACCTACGGAATCGACCCATTTGGCACCGGTAGCAGCATACCCTCTCTGTGTCAACGGGTGCCTGTAAAATTCACAACTGCAGGGACATACGTGTGGCCGGTCCGTTGTTCAATCTCTTTCAGGTAGTCTGGATTGCTGTTCGTTTTCTCATGGTGCTGCTGCTGATAGCGGTCATCATTGGCCATTAGAGATGACCAGATAATGTCACATAGAAACAAGCAATGGCCACTGAAACAAGGAATGTCACGACGAGGACGTTCCAAAGCAGAAGAGGCAGAACCAAGACTACTAGTATTTCGAGGCTTCCCTGGAGACTTTGCGAGGACTGATTCTCATGGTGGGTATACGTAGAAACCTGTCTTCTGAAGTGATTGCGCAGTAACAAACTAATCAATCAATCTTCGATCCTTGGGTTCACTGCACTACGGTAGCTAAAATCTATACTTTTGACTCCATCTTGCTCAACAAACAATACTACAAAAACCTGTTCCCTTCAATATATATTTCCTTCCCTGTAAAGCGTTGCACTTGGCATCCCATTGCCACTCCAACAGTTTGGGGTTTTGGGGTTGTCACTGTGAGAAAAGAGTGAGCGGGAAACAAATTGAAATCGCGTGTGTCATTGGCGGGAGAATGTGGCTGGCTCTGAGCCTTATTTTAACCCCAGATGACAGTATAATCGCGCATTTGGTCCTAGTTGCCATCCGCTCGCTTCGACCACTCGATCTTGGTTCTTGAACAGAAGCAGAGAAGTTTCTATCACAGCTGTTTGTTGGATCTGTTCGTCCTCTTTGCTGCACTCTCTTCTGTTGCCCTCTTCCCATCCTTTCAGCATCGGCTATGCTAGAGGTATATAGAAGAGAGAGAGAAGAGACATTAGACCATGTTAGAAGAGGCCCTACGTGACCCCAACAAGCACCCGGCGGAGGTTGCCACGGCAATGCTCTCCTTCATTCGTTCAGATTTGGTCAATGGAGGATCCTCGTCGGAGGAGCGGTTCTACCAGCTCTTTTTGCCACTGTGCAATCGGGTTTTTGGGGAAATAATGCAAGACAACAAGTTGGAATATAAGCACCAAGCTGGTGGGTGGCTGTCTGCCGAGCAACGGTGGAAGACGCCGTCTACGACGCAAGTCCAGCAGCATTCTTATGGTCGGTCTGTCAAGCGATCACCACCACAACAATCGACCAAGATCCGGTGGTGCAGCTGTTGGGGCCAGTTCCACGGTCTTCTTCAAGCAGAGTTGGCAACAAGGAAAATGAAAACTATCCCGCCCTCTCATTGATTGACACCATCTCAGAGGGCATGGCCACACGTCAAACAGGGTACTTTGTGTTTCCTTTTTTGGCACTGCCCCAACCCATGCAACAACAATTTTTGGCGGGTTCTCGAAAGGCGCCTGATTGGGATCACTCCCAACCTCTCACATGCCCTTGAGCATGGGGCATCCTGCCGATCCAGATTGCCCAGCAAGTGCTTGTCAGCCAGAATTCCAATCGGCTATTCGGATCCCTCCTACGAGTGCCTCCGGACCAGCAAAACCACATTGTGGCTATCAACAGAAGAAGCTAAGGCCGGGATCAATCACAACCTCTTCAGCTCAGCCCTGGTC